TGGACAGTCCATCGGTTTCCTGCTGAGAACCATGGCCTCAGATTTGGAGGTGCTGATCCTCATCCCAGCCGCTTCACACTCGGTTGCGAACCGATCCAGTGAGTGCTGAAGGTCGCAGACCGATGAAGCCATTAGAACCACATCATCTGCAAAAAGCAGTGGTGCAATCCTTAGTCCACCGAACTGCAGACCCCCTCCCCCATGACTACGCCTCGAAATCCGATCCATGTATATTACAAACAGGATTGGTGACAAAGCGCAGCCCTGGCGGAGGCCAACCCTCACCGGAAATGGGTCCGACTTACTGCCGAGGACCCAGACACAGCTCTCGCTTTGGGAGTACAGAGATTGGATGGCCCTGAGTAGAGACCCCCTCACCCCATACTCCCGCAGCACCTCCCACAGTAACTCCCTGGGAACTCGGTCATACGCCTTCTCCAAGTCTACAAAACACATGTAGACCGGATAAGCGTACTCCCAGGCCCCCTCCAGGATCCTTGCGAGAGTAAAAAGCTGATCCGTCGTTCCACGACCAGGACGGAATCCGCATTGTTCCTCCTCAATATGAGGTTCGACAATCAAGATTTATTAAGATAAGATATACTTTATTAATCTCAAATTGGGAAATGTTTTCGTTGCAGCAGCATGAAAAACAAAGTATTACACATATTTAGAAATTTAAAAAAAGTATTTAAAAAAAAAACAATTATACAATGTGAACATCTCAAAATAGAAGATAGAACAGAACTAAAAGAGTGAAAATATAAACGTTGACCATGAATATAACAATATGTAGACTATCTGACAAATAAAACACTATTTAATTACATATTAAATTGGATATAAATGAAAAATGTACAGTGAAGTTATAAGTCCAGTTAATAAAAGAGAAACTAGTGTATGGAGCTAGTTCTCTTCCAGCCAGAGGTGATTTGTTGTACAGGGTTATTGCAGCGGGCAGGAATGTGTTCCTGTATCGGTCCTTGTGACAGCGGAGCTGCAGCAGTCTGTTGGAGAAGGAGCTCCTGTCTGTCCAGCTGCAGGTGGAGAGGGGGGGTGGGGTTATCCATGATGGACAACAGCCTGTTCTCCTCATCTCCACCACAGCTTCAAAGGGGTCCAGCTTGATGCCGATGATAGACCAAGCTTTCTTGATCAGTGTATTGATTATGCTTGTGTCACCGGCTCTGATGAAGCCATCGTAGAGAGCACTGGCCACAACAGACTGGTAGAAGATCTCCAGCATCTTGCTGCACACGTTGAAGGATCTCAGCTTCCTCAGGAAATAGTCGGCTCACCCTCTTCTTGTACACAGCGTCAGTGTTGATCCTCCAGTTCAGTCCGTTGTCTAAGTGCACTCCCAGGTACTTGTAGTCCTCCACCACAACAACTATGTTGTTGCTTCTGTACCATGATTTTGTCACTCTTAGTGAAATGATGGCTTTGTTCTAAAAGTAAGCAGTATTATCAACGATTTTATATGGTGGCAAATGGTGAACAAGAAAAACTCTTTCTTAAATATGATGAAATGTACTGCTACGAAGGATAACTGGTCCCCTGTTTAAAACAATTCCGGTTCTTCTTGCATTTGGGATAAAAATAAAGGGGATATTTTCTTTCTTTGGAGACTTTTTAATGGGTTTGTTTATATTCCTACAATCAGATTTGTATTCGATGGGTGAACTTTTCTCTTTCCTCAACATTGTTTAGATTTCTTTTCTCGATTTTGTGAACGTTTTGCGAAAAGTTGGGCTTAACACATGTCTTCTACTTTGATTCAAAGCCATTTGACAGGAGGCCGGCTGTTAGTGAGGTAACAGCAGGGCCTTGGTGAGTGTGATTATGATTCAGACTGGGCTACAGGGTGCTTCTCTGTTACATAACCAGCTGACACCTCTATGTCCATCACACACACACACACACACACACACACACACACACACACACACACACACACACACACACACACACACACACACAGCTTTTCCCTCCCCATCCTTGGGCAATGTATTGTTCGCCCTGCAGAGAGAACAGGAGCTGGAGGTGGGCAGCACACACACACACACACACACACACACACACACACACACACACACACACACACACACACACACACACACACACACACACACACACACACACACACACACACACACACACACACACACACACACACACACACACACACACACACACACACACACACACACTTTATTAAATGAAATGAAGAACCACAAACAAATGCTTACAACCTCTGTCAAATATTCTTTTAGAAATTCTCAAGCAGCTTTTCCACCCTCAGTCTTCTAAAAGCACTGAGACTGGTTGTATATTGTAGAATATGTGCTTCAAATGCACTCAAAAGGCACTGAACTGCCTCATTTGTAAAACAGTTTAATTCAAGAGGTTTCCAAAACTGCTACAATATTATGTCATATTGTTTACCCTGCCTACTATCAACAGCTTGTTCAAAGTTCACACTTGGAAGTGTAAAGAATGCTTTTTTACCCACAATGTACACTTGCTTATATAGCTATCCTATAAAATGTTGCTCTCAGCTCTTTGGGTTTATACTTGAAAGCTAAAATCGGTTTCAACACGTGAAAGGCTTTTCGAAAGGTTACGATTATCTGTTGTTGTATCTTTCAAAGCACAGAGTCTTTCTTCAATGTTATATTGGAGCTTTGCAAACAAAATGTCTCCATCGAGTGAGCCAAATCCTTAGTCACTCCATAACTGAGTCACATACTTATTTTTGGGCTTCTCAAAACAGAATGCACGAAATATCCCCAAAACTAGGCATACAAATACATGGTAACGATATAATCCCTTTGGGAAATGTTTGAGGCAATGCCTTTTGTTCAATTATATTGTTCCCAGTAATTATTTCATAAAAATTGAACACGTAACAAAAAAGGTTGTATATTCGTTGAAAACAAAACCAGACATTACATAAATTCCTCTTTTGTCCTCCAGACAAATTGCCATGTACTTATTTTTGTGCATAATTTAACGGGTTTCCCCGAGTAGGTTCATGGAGTTTTGTGGAAACGTTTTTCAGATAGGCATTACATTTTTTCTGATTCTTTATATTTGGGTGCTTTACCTTCAGGAAATGTTTCCTCCAGGGATGCACCGATGATACATTTCTTGGCCGATGCCGATGTTAAGAATAATTATTTGGCCGATGCCGACGTTTTAATGTAATTTCTTTCCACTGTTATTCCACTTTCTGCCAGGAAAAACAAACAATTTTTCTCGCAAAATGGTTTCAGTTTCAAAGGCTGAGCAAGTTCGTTGTTATAACATCATAGTACGCTGTTTGTTCGTTGTTATAACATCATAGTTCTTCCTTGTTCTTGAACTTTTTGATGTATTAACCTAGAAAAAACTCTTCTTTGCCTCTTAACCACTATCAGGTCAACTTGAGATTACAAGCTGGTTCTTACTTCAACATCATACTGTACATGTTATTGCTGTGAGATGTCAAACACATGACCTGAGTCTGCTGCATTCCCCTTAAAGAGAATGTGTCATTTTCTCCCCATTGTCAACCATAGAAATGCCTGTAAAATGAGTAGTGTGTTTATGTAAGTCCCGGCTGGATCACACGGACTCATTGCAGTCACTACTGCTCTCACAGAAAGCCTTGTGGTGCACACATGAAGAAAACATATATAGGAAACATGGGGTGATCTACATCTACCCAGCCTAATGTGTCACATTCTGTAGTAGAACACGTCTTTGTTTTCCCCCCATGGCTTTGTTTGCTATATGTTACATGCATTTTAAAACCACCAGTACCAGCAGTTATTGCGTCATGTACGATAATGAATAGAGATGTAACGCATGGTCCGCCCTTCAGGCATACTAACTGTCACATTTGTTGTGTGATTTTGTTTGTCATTAAACTACAGCAATACATATTTACGAGGCATCTTTGTGGCTTGAGCTAAATGGCAACATGTTAGAAATAATGAAAAAGACTTTACATAATGTCAAGCTTGGAAGATATTTGTTCAGCCAGTAAAAGGTATGTTATGTAGCAGACTCAATAGAAATCATTTACCATTATCTGTGGTTAAACAATAGCAATCATCTTATGTGCCATGACTGTGATGTAGGCTACAGTAAGATTTGGGCAGTGTCAGTGCGTTGCTATGGTTTTTCAACAGTTCCTTCTTAAGTTTTTAGTAAGGGATAATGTGCAATGAGCCGGTCATTCATGTGAGGATCAGGATCCCGAGAGCAACGTACATTGAAATGACGGCAGTACAGATGGAGGTTTTTTGTAAAAGTCTTTTCAAATTCTCTTTTCCATTACCAGACTTGAATCACTGCCAGAGCCCACACCGTGTTCCTGTTAGTGTTTACTTCCTGTCTGTTTTCTTCTGTTGATTTCTCTGACGATTTATTCTCTTTCCTTCTCTTGTTCTCTTTTTCTTTTCTTTACTGGGGACGGTTTAACCATCATGAATCGTAAATGTGTTTTCTCCAAAAATATTAAACTGAATATTCAAAAATTATCCCAAGGTCGAGATTGCTATCCACAGCTGACGTTAAAATGACTTCTTTCTGCGTATTGACTGCACATAGTCCCTTGATTCTCCTTAGTAGCAGTCTGTTAGCGATAATAAACAACCTCTGACCAATCAGAATTGAGTATTCAACTTAGCTTTGTAAAAAGCTGTGTTAATAAATTACGCACACCGTGTCTAGTCAAAGATAGAAGTTGTTTGTCTTTTACAGTTAGATGAAAAATTGGACACTTGTAAAACAACAAAGAAAACCAACCAATGGGGGAAAATTGAAGAAACCTCAGGGAGAGCAGCAGAGGAGGATCAAATACGATAACAACAAAGACAATCCAAATGACATAAAATATATTGTGTTAATAAAATAAATGGATCATTGTTATTTCAACAATCTTTCAGGTGCCGCTTAAAAATATTGCTATAGATCATGCTAAAACCGCACTCTCTTTCCTCATGTTTTTCCAGGCGCGTTACAAACAGAGCCTGGACCCCACAGTGGACGAGGTGAAGAAGCTGTGCACGTCGCTGAGACGCAACGCCAAAGAGGAGCGGGTCCTTTTCCACTACAACGGCCACGGGGTGCCGCGGCCCACCGTCAACGGAGAGATCTGGGTCTTCAATAAGGTAACACACACAAACGAGAGCAGTAGCCATTGACATCTAGAACCTAGAAACCCTAATTATCTGTTGCTGAGATCACAAATGCAACTATAATGTGATTAAGGAAATAATTAAATGAAACACTACTCTCATTAGTTTGCCCAGTTGTTAGTAGGGATGGGTATCGTTAAGGTTTTAACGGTACTACTACTTTTATCGATACCGCTTATCGTCCGGTCTTTTAACAGAAGTCTTATCGCCATCTCCTCCGTGTGTGTGTTGCTGCATGTAGCAGCCACGTGTGTGTAAACTGACCCGCCCCCTCACAAGCAGGCGGGGTAGAGAGATCGAAAATACTAAAATTAATCATGGACGCATTTTGCAGTCTTTTTGCGTATTAGAAACAGAGTTGGCAACACTAAAACTGCAATATAATGTTTGTGTAGCAATAATACATATGACATATTTTGTACATGTCTCCAGTACCGATAAAAAGAGCGATAACGTCAGAGCTTAACGGTACCACAGTCTTTAATAATTCAGCCCCGGAGCTCGTTTAATACCGGGGCTCGGTACCCATCCCTACTTGTTAGTCATATAAGGAGCTCACATGGAGTGGGAACATCCGGTCTTATGTAATCATTTGTATTTGAAAGGAGTTTATGGCACTTGTAGTTACTTCACTAATGCATGGAGAGCTGTCAAATTATGAAACCATAAAAAGGTCAAATCTTACTATTAAGCAATGATTGGTCTGCTTGAGATTAACGGTGTGTTACAAGTTACGAAATAGGATCATGTGAGAACTTGGACAATTAATATGGTGAAATGACTTAACTTGCAATATGATTATGATATGTTAATTGTTGAGACATTCGACTCCATTTGTCCATGGTTGTTCTGAGAACTTCGCTTTCGACCCTTTTGAAGGCTTCAATAGAGCAAGATAACAAATGTGTTCAGATTGGCCATCAAATTTAGACCACCGTTGGATTAGGCCCTCCCTGAGACCTGGGATGTTACCTTATACCTGCTGCAGGGTTTGGGTTACAGACCATATATCTGCTGTAACGTTGGGTATGTCTTCCAGGATAGATTTTGCACCTTGTGAAGGAGGTTGGTATAGCACCCGTCTAGAGGTTGATGGAGCATTGAGGGATCAGGTCTCCTGATCATATTAACATGTATTGCATTCAGCAGGTCATATCGTCATATTTTGTCCACTTTAATGCTACCGCTTTGGCTTTCTGAGATTGGAAGTCTTTCACATATTCCATGATGTATGATATTGTGATATAGGATGTATGTCCCAGGTATTTGAAATCATTGACCAGTTTGAGAGGGGTTTGTGCCGTTGAGATGAACTTGATGCAGTAAAGCCCCCCCACCACCACATCAGCTAACTGCATGCTGTGATGTTAGGGTTGGGACTTGCAAATCAGACATAACATCTTGAGTTTTTCATGTCCCTGTCCTATAAGTAAGCACCCACTCACAATGATGCACCGCCGCTGTCTGGGCTTACCCTACCTCCATGTCCTCAGCACACCCCCGGTCCTGATGTCCTCTTCTCCTCCCTTTCCCACCATATTTCCCACCTTTATACTTATTTCCAATGTAATCAGTAGGGGAGGGATTTGATGTTTGAGCAGTGGTGAAGAATGTCATTTTCCATTAGGTAACGGGTATAACACCGTTATAGCACTGTGGTTATTGGATTTATTTTATACTCATTGGCTCTTTTTGTATCCTCATCATCCTCTCTCACTCTCCCTTATTATAACTTCAACTGTTTCTCTCCCGCTAAGCTCACACTCTTCATCAAACAGATGACTAGTTAATAATTAAACACAGATCTATAAAAGTGAGTTTTCAGCAATAACACCATGCCTCATGTTCCTCTTTTTCTTTCTCCATCAGAACTACACCCAGTACATCCCGCTGTCCATCTACGACCTGCAGACGTGGATGGGGAGCCCGTCCATTTTCGTCTACGACTGCTCCAACGCAGGGATCATCGTCAAGTCCTTTAAACAGTTCGCCCTGCAGAGAGAGCAGGAGCTGGAGGTGGGCAGCACACACACACACACACACACACACACACACACACACACACACACACACACACACACACACACACACACACACACACACACACACACACACACACACACACACACACACACACACACACACACACACACACACTGGTTTACGACATGTCACTGCACAGCAGCCATGAATTAGTACAGGGGTTGTAATTGGAAAAATAAAGATTAGGTGAGTCATACAAACACACGCGCGTAAGGCAAACAGCGGGAAATAAACCGCTGGTATTTATGAGTTATTAATGAATAGTCAGAGATATTTTACCTGCAAACAACGCGGACACATGTACGTTCGTATTATATTTACGAAGCAGACCCAAGTGGTGTCAGTCATGGCGTGTCGAGTCATGGTTCTCCGCTCTCGGAAAATCCTTCCGTGCAGTGATCCAGCCAATCAAACGGGCAGCTGGCTCTAAATCATTGACACACACACACACACACACACACACACACACACACACACACACACACACACACACACACACACACACACACACACACACACACACACACACACACACACACACACACACACACACACACACACCAGCCCCAGTGCCTTCAACACTTCATCTTTTTATTACGCTTTCTCTCGCTTTCTCTCTCCAGGCTACGGCATGTTATGTGAATACCTAATGAGACGGCTCTGTCATTCATCTCAATTATTCATGCAGAAGTTTCAGCCAGACTGTAGATTAGCTGGAAAACGAGGGAGAGAGGTAGAGGCTGAAAGTACTGAGCTTGGAGACTGGAGGTAGAGCGAGAGTAAGGAGGAGATGGTGTGAACGCTGTGTTACCCGTTACAGTGAGAGGTGAAGGCAGCAGCTAACTGCTGAGTCGCTGCAGTATTTGACAGTGTCGGTGCTTCCTCTCCTGCTCTTCCTCTCCTGCTCTTCTTCTCTCGTTTTGTTGTGCAGAGGTCACGTAGGTGGCTGCACCATCCACGATAAAATCACTGCTTTGTTTTTGCTAAATATCATCAAATATCATCGTTATCTGGTTTCAGGAAATTGAATTGATTAATGTTTATTCTGCAACATTATTTATTGACGTTCTTTCATTAATTATATTTCACTGGTATAATGGCTGCACAATTTTGAAACTAATTGCGATTATATGGAATGATATTGCAATTGCGATATGATATGTGATAATATAGGGAACGAAACAATCTTATACAATATCAATGAATAATGTTTTACTGTGTGATCTATATCAAACAAGTACTTTTTGTGTGGGAGAGAAACTCCCTCTGTAGGGAACACAGGGATTTTAGCCTTTGCAGACCATTTACATGCACAGAAACCTATATGACACACTAAAGGAAGGGTAACACTCAAAAAGGCTCTAGGTTCTTACCTAGAGGTGGCAGAACATAGGAAGGACTTGGGTAGAATAACTGAATTATTGCTATGCTTCAGAGTTTTGACACATTGACCATTTTTAAAAGCAACACGTTCACAATTTTAAAACTACATTCAAATATACATGCAGTACTTTTGGCCAAAGTACTGCATGTTGAAAGTGAACTACCCCCTAACTTTTTCCCTGGAGCGTGTACTTTGACAAAAATAGTAGGAGTAGCGAGTATAGGTAGGTGGTTTCAAATGGGCCCAAGCTGAGGTTGTTGAAGTGTTACTTAGTAATGTCGTCAGTTTAATAACTGTAGTCTATCCTAAGCCATAAGGCCTGGGAGTAAAGATGGTGAAGTATCTCTGTGTTAGCATAGAGTTTGAAAGACCTCACAAATATGTTTTTGGCAATAACTGAATATTTATGAGAATCTCACACAATCTCTATTGATATTTTGAATGGACATGGATGTTAACTGCAACGAGTTTTCATTATGACCAGCAGAAAGTTTGTCTCAAATCTGTGTGTGTGTAAAATGCAAATCCACAAACAGATAATTGAGATAAAAAAATGCATTTTTGATTTACAAACGAATATTTGATTCACAAATGTCAGGTTGGAAATTGTCACTACAAGTTATTGTCATTTACTTGAAATCAATTTATACATTTTGAGTTGTTTTGCAGGTGTTTTATATTTACAGATTAAAACATTTCCACAGCAATTGGCGATCAGTTCACACAAATAATAACGACACAAATCTACCTCTCTCCGTCATCGCTGCACAAAAAATGTACATGAAGGTGGGACCTCGAAGCTTCGAGTGTTTAGGGAGGGAAATAAACGGAAGCAGTCCCCTGGTTGAACTTTGGATAACCTCCATAAGCAATTATATTTGTTATTATACCCGAGTGCCTGCCCTTCTCACAGGAAGTGCATAATGGGTGGAGGTAATGGAAGATAACGAGAGAGGCGCTGACTTCCGGAGACTTTTTAATAATGCAGGAGATGATCCAAGCAGGGAGTCCCCACCTCACCCACGCTTCCCTCTCTCACACACACACACACACACGCACACGCACGCTTCCCTCTCACACGTCCACACACACACACACACACACACACACACACACACACACACACACACACACACGCCTCCCTCTCACACGCACATGTGCACACACACACACACACACACACACACACACACACACACACACACACACACACACACACACACACACACACACACACACACACACACACACACACACACACGATTCCCACAGCACGACAGGCCCGATCGCTACAGGGACTATATTTGTTTGTTGATTCAGAAGATTTAAGATAAAAAAAATGATATGAAGGAGGAGGATGATGGCATGATATGAAAAGAGGAGGAGGAAGAGATGGAGGAGGAGGAGGAGGAGGTGGTATTTTCACACTCCTCCGCCGCACCATACCAACCACCTCCTACAGTTGTGTGTAGATGACGCTCTGAGTGCTCTGTTATAGGGCCACCTGCTTCCTTTTAAATATCTCATCACTTCCTGCCTGTACTCAGCAAACATGCTCACTGCATTAGCCGTGGGGCTAAAGATATTTGTGTGTGTGTGTGCCCTGCAGCATTCAGCTAGGACATGCTGGACGGTGTGTGTGAGGTTTGTTTGTGTGCATGTTGTGTGTTAGATGTTAGCGTTTCCAGGATGCTCACATTAAGCCTCCTTCTATCATCTTAATGCATAATTAATGCGAGTGGCTTTAAAATGTATTGCTGGACTAGAGTTGCATTTTGGGAGGATGTGCGTGTGAAGGCGTGACTGTGCTCCTGCTGTGATCAAGTGTCTTTACATCTGAATCCCCCTCCCTGTAGGATTACATCAATTAGCGTCACTCTTTAAAGGGGAAAAAAACTGAATCCTGAGCATTTATATTGTCGCCTGATATTCCCCCTGGAAGAGAAAGAAAGGGAAGCTGTCGTGGTGATGTTCATGGTAATTTGAGAGATTACAGTATGCTAATGTGATAATTACAGGAGATGCTCGGCATTAATCAGCTTCGGCTGGCAATGCTTATTGTCAGGATTACTGCGGCACGCCGGCACCTCCAGATTCCGACAGTTCTCCTCAGGTTGACACATGGAGAGGCCTCTGAAAACGCTTTGTTGGGGATGTCTGCCTCTGAGAGCGCGTCGACTTCTCCTCATTAGACCCAGAAGAGGAATGATGTTCTAGGAAAGATTGGCACAGATCCATCTGCACGACTCCCACTCACGCCTGTGAGCGTTTCAAAGAGAAATAAAATATGCATGTTGATAAAAAAAACAAAAAGGAAACACATGCACAGTTACACACTTTAACACTCGCCCCGATTAATTAAGACTATTCTTCTGTATTTTTAATATCATGATTTATTCATGTGTGTGCAGAGCTTCTTATAGAGTGCTCCTGTAAATACATAATGTCTCACAGAGAGATCTGAGCCTCAGCTGCTGCCGCCTTTTCCCTCCACTTATTATAGAGTCAGCTAATGAGTTATTGGACTAGCAGAGAGCAGGGAGGCTGTGCAGTATATACAAGAGCAGGGAGGCATTACCTAAATCTACAGTTCCTCATCACAAGGCACTTCCTGCAGTTTGATTAGTTTAACTGGAAACCGGATTGAGCATTTGAATGGGGACATGGCGGTCTTATCTATACAAACTGACTTTACTTTCTGTTGCATTTTTCCAAGTCCTACAGTTAAGAAGCGTATTTTTCAGTTTTGTTTCCCAGGCAGCCTTGTTGTATATATCGTTGTGTTTGTAAGACGAAGGCGTCCCCTCAGTGCTTTCCTCCAGTAATGTGGTTTTACCCTGGCTTGCATCAGATACTCAGCTGCAGCACGCAGTAAGCTGTGAGACAAAAGAAGAGTTTCCCTTCAGAAGTTATGCTGTTACTGCTGGGTGTGTGGTTTTGTCTACTGCTGTGATTTTCAACTTTCAACAATGATCTAGCCCCCAGCTTAGGATAACTAATTAGTCGATCAACAGAAAAATAATCGCAAACTGTGTCACAAATGTTGAGCTTTTCTGCTTTTATATCATATCAAAGTCAATATGTTTGCATATTTGGAGACATTTAAAGACATCACTTTGGAGTTTAGAAATCTAGGAACACATTATAAAGAAAAAACTATAAATCAATCTTGATTTAGTCTGCTGATTAATTGATAATGAAAACAATTTTTATCGCGGGCCGTAAGTTAAAAATGTTAACAAGTGCAACAAAAAGGATGGATCCCCCAGACAGAGGTCCAGCAGTAATTGTACCTGTGGCTCCTGCTGTGCAGCAGAGGTGAGTGCAGACAGTCAGTGTTGTACAGAGGGACAGGTGGCCAGTTCTAACTAGGGATGGGTATCGTTAAGGTTTTAACGGTACTACTACTTTTATCGATACCGCTTATCGATCCGGTCCTTTAACGGGACTCTTGTTGGTTCTTTTGAAAAAAAAAAAAAAAAGGTAAACTAACTAAACAAATTTGAAAATGTCTTTTTATTTAAATTAAATAAATAATATTTCACATCAAAAGAAACAACAATGTTCGTACACAAATCGTATTAAATAA